GGTCTCGAGATGAAAAATCGGTACAGAGGCCCAGCGCACACACACACACACACAAACACACACACAGACACACACATATAGACAACCTCTCGTCAATATGCGTTTTTCGCATTGCATTGTTGCAAAAAACGCATAAAAACTGTGTTCACCAGCCAAGAAGTAATGGAATCTGTACTAGAAAGTTACGTCATCTGAAAATAGTATAAAAACAGCTTTAAGGAATGGAATCGTAGGGCGATGTACCATAAGCGCCTTTGCGTGCAAATTGTATAGAATTGCCTCCAACACCAGCAAAAGCATCCAGTATCACAGCGTTTTCTTTGATTACAACACGATCCGCGATGTGCGCTGCAATCTTTTCCGGCGTCACAGAATACCATCCTTCTGAAAATTTAAACTTTCGCACGCAAACTGTTAAAAGAAAAGTTTTAAACTAACAGTTATCTGCCAAGTTTATAATCTGCAACTTTGGTATGAAAGAATATGCTGTAAAATAAGGAAACCCAGTCGGATTTGCTCAAGAAAATTGTAAAAATTGTTTTGTTTTCGCCAAGCATGTTGGATGTTCACCCAAACGCGAGGACATGAAACGAACATCAGGAACGCTAGCCGATTCGTCACCATCCGATGCAGCGCTGGTCAAAGTAACTGGGGGAAGTTACCCACTACATTGCTGGCGAACTGGATGTGAATTAGCAACTGATCCAAGCATACAAATTATGCTGCTGCTATTTATGCTGGATTTTATGCAAATACTTTTTACTCCCCTCGCTCGTTGCACATGCACTATAACTTCGTTAATTCAACCTGTTCTAATTTAACCTGCCTAATAATCAATATATACAATCTGTATTGCTCATACCCATTTCCAAAGATTCGTATGGCTATTTATCGTAAAGAGGTTGAAATGTCACAAATCACTGTAAATATTTCTGCCAACGGGAGCTTTTCCATCATTTATATGTCCGGTTTAATATTTATTTGCTCACTTTGTTGATCTCTTACAGCACAAAAAGCACACTGCGTGTGTGTGTGTGTGTATCTGGTGTGGCCGAATGCGTTTTGTCCAACACTTTCAACTCAGGAACTACAAGAGCTATGGAGCCAAAATTTTGAGAGGATGTTCTCCAATCATATGCAACTGCGTATTTAAATTCAGCATCCCTATGTGTCCGGTTCTCACGTACGGCTCCGCGAAATTTTTGGTGAGGAAAATTATTATTTCGGGAACCACAAAAACTTGCAAGCTGAAGTTTTAGGAGAATGTTTTCTGCCCACGTGCGATCCAGCAAATTTAAATTCAGTTCCCCCTCTCCTCCCTCCTCCTCTCCCCCTCCCCCCACGTGCACTTGAGCATCACGTATGGCCTCGTAAAAATGATTATCTCGGGAATCAGTAGAGCCAAGGAACTATTTCTGAATGGCTTTTCTGCTCATACAGAGATCTCGCAAGCTCAAATTCATGTATGCTTATGTTCCACCTGCGGCAACAATGGAAGTTTTGACGCAAAAGTCACTAACTTGCAAGCCAAAAAACTAAGATGCCGAGATTTTAGAGAATTTTTCCCATCCATGTGTGTTATAAAGGAAAAATTTTTACTGAAAAATCGTTTTTTTCTGAGAATTTCCTATTGGGAAGCTGCGTACTGCTGGGGACAAGACTATTTTTTGCACGTATCAAAGGGCAAAACAATGAAAATTCTTAACAGCAAGCGTCCACTCAACGGAACTGTGCAAACGCATAATCGCATCTGGCCATCGAGGTGCGAGTTGCTATTTATTGTAATTCCACACTGTAACAGTTATATTTTTTTTACCACTTTCTCATGGATATGATCTTTGCGGATTCTGCCTTTAGTTTTTGTAAAAGCTGTCTTGAAGTTATCACCGATCAGCATCGATGAAGAAATGGAAGCTTCTCCTCCGTCGAGACGAGGGTGGGGACGTAGACTTTAGCAAGGTCTTTTTACTTACTAGGCCATAGCATCAGACCAAAGCTGCGGGGATTTTGGACTTCGCCTTTATATATCATAAAAATAAGTCTTCTCCAATATCTCCCTCAGTCAATGTTGCATTACTTATCCTAAATCAGGCTTCTTTACAGTATCCTTCAAAGCATACGCGCCAGAATGATTCTTATTAGCTGATGTGTTGTGTTCTGGCTAATTAATTATTCACCCAACACATGTGATACTCAAATTCTACTATTACTTCAATATTTCACGGGTGTGATGTGTACTGACGAAACTATTTTAAAAGGTCGATCTGGAACTGTGCCAATAAATGACTAACCGCGATCCATCAGAATACCCTTATTCAGTTTCGAGAACAGTCGAAAACGCTGATGATAGTACTTCGGCATATCCTGCAATGATTTAACACACCATGGTGGAGCTCAGAGTAGGAGATACCTCCAATAACTATTTTAACTTCACAATGGAACTTTTTCAAATATTCTACTCAGCATTTAACACAGTCAGATTTTGGAGAAGGTTCAACGTGCTATTGGAACGCCGATTTTTATGAATTACGCGATGTGGCTCCAGCCACTTGTCAACAAAAGCACTGCGTCGCATTTTCTCGGGCTAGACCCTGCTTGAAGAAACAAATGATGCAAAAACAGTCAAAATCACTGAGACAATGCCTTCTGAGTGAAAAACAAAAACAACTGGGAGTGGCTCGAGTGACTGTACCCTGCCAACACTAATACACTTTTCCACCATGCAAAATGAAGATGATGGTAATCGAGACGAACTAAGCAGCTGTGCTAATCTACTCAGCATTTTCAAAAATCACACTAAGAAAAAACTTACTTTATCCTCAGCGAATGTCATCAGCGCATTTTTCGCAATCAGCCATTTATCGCGCTCCTCGTTGAAGCTAAAATCAAAATTTTCTCCCATCGTATCCGAGGAATGTTTCGGTTCCATTGCTGTTAAATCCTAAATGAAATAGCATTCGTTAATACAAGAAAGCCGCAAGTGACGGAAGCAAGATGCCGCGCAAAATAACCGCACGTCAGGGCAATCTCCAAACCCATCTAACATCAATCACCGTATTAACAGAGAATTATCTCATCCAACAACGAAAATATGCACTTATTCTGTTGGCCAAGCAGTTCCCCTCTTCCGATGTCTGGGCAGCAGAAATTCGGTGCTTCCGGAAGCAGCAACATAATTAGCTGCAAGTACGTTTCCTTCAACAGAAGCTTCATAAAGATACCTAATATCCGGGAATCGTGATTCGCAATGAAGTTCTTGAACTATTAGCCTGGCAATTTTCCCACTTAACTAATGCCGCACTGTTTGTTGCTGAGCCAGTTCGCATCCGTTTTGTCAGTCAGCGATCCCGAAGGGATTACTCTTGCAGCAGATTCTAAGAGATTACTGCTGCATTTCGAGATCATCTGTTTTCGAATGCTGCCACTTACAAATTATGATGAAGCATCTTATCTACCAGGAAAAAGACACCAGCAAGCTCCTCCAAGAGAAAAAAGAGAAAAGGCATGCCTGGATCACCAGCAAACAATCTACCAGATGGAGCTGATGATGAAAATCACGACGACTACGATGCCGATGATAACGGCGATGATAATGATGATGCGGTGGCCATGAGGGTGCTGCCCAAGTGACAGGAGTTGTGACACAGTTATCGAATATGCTTAATGCGTGAAGCCATGTGCCGTGACAGAACAGTAACGTAATCACTAGAACTCGGCTCGGCCATCACTGAGAGAGGTTCTCGTCTTTCTGCTAACGCTATTTTAAGGCGTCACTTGTCAGCCTTGTTTGGCATAATGCCATGGGTACTGGGTAGCTACTCAGCTCTCGGTTGGCGTGTAGTGAGTAGAGAGGTGAAAAGTGATTAGGGGGGTGGTGGTTGATGGGTGCCCAGGTGTCGGTCCGAAGGCAGGAACTGGAGAGAGCACAGAGGAAGGGAACAGGGGTACTAGTCATGAACTGGAGGCAAGGACTGGAGACAGCAGTGAAGACAAAACAGCATTACAAGAAAAAGTAAATTAAAGTAAATCCAGCAGTCCGTGAAAAAGCAAAATAAAAAGAAAAAACTGAACCTATGGATATGAGCAAAAAAGAAGCAAAAACAGATGAAACAAACTGAGCCTATGCGAGTGAATATTGTCCCATAAAAAGCCCTCGTCAGTGGGGACTTCCCTATTTATGAAGCTCAATGCTTAGGTAAAGCTGAGAGTAAATAATTTCGATCATAGGATGCAAACAAAATAAAAAGACCATATGCATAAGAATGGAGTCAGCCTTTGCTTCTGTGAGATTCTGAAGGTAAAAACTGAGAATAACCAAAGCCTGGCTGGCGCCATCCGATTTGAGAAAACCTTTTTCAGCCGATAGCAGGTGCTCTTACTCCACCATGACGCAGGGCGTTGAGTGGTACAGGCGGGGTATGTGTGGGTTTCGTGCGTGAAGATTCGAGGTAGCAGGAGAGGGCTGCATGAGTGCGTTGAATTGTCAGTTGCCTGGGCCACGTGAAAGAGATGGGGGGGG